TGCTGAGAACAGAGGACAAACTATAGCAATGGATTTTTAAAGTTCATTTTTTACAATAAAGTTGATTAAATTAAACACTTTTCTCTAAAACACAAAGGTCCCTGACTCCTTACTAGATGACAACTGAAAACGATTAATTCTGATTTTTGCCCTTTAAAATGTGTAAACTAAGTAAGTCAAATTTTATTACTTACTTTGATTCCTGAAATTAAAAACATGAAAGTACATATGAGAAACTATTTTCTTATAGCTGCATTCTAAAATGCTGCTTCTTCAGGAAGGGCAAAAATCTGAGCTAATAATTATGACTGTCATTAACCTTAGCTTCTTTCTTTTAAAAAAAAACAACCAAACAAAATTAAGCTATTCTATTATAATGTGAACTAAACCAGACTACCTTCCTCCAGTTGGTTTGACTGGATTTTCTAATTTCCTGTTCTTCAGTCAGCTTGAAAAGGGTTATGACAATATATAAAGGTCTTCATGGACAAGACCGTAATTTTTATAACAAAAACATACTATACCTGCAACAGGGATCATTTTAATACAAACTGGAATTTCCCATTGTTCCTTGTAGTTTAGTCCATGATTATTCAGTAAAGTAAATAACGAGTGATTATTTAAAACAACTTGAGGACAGTATTTCAAAGCAAGTTTTTCTGCATTTGAATCTGAACTAATATCCTAAACAGAAAAAAAGTTAAATTTTTAAAGGTTTTTAAGAAAGACCCACATAAATTTAAATTCATAAGAAAAACCCCAAATACAAACAAACATGGATTAACCACGCTCCCCCCCTGCCCCCCCCCCATACCACCACAGTACCAAGCTTCAAAACTAAATCAAAAAAACAAAAAATTCCCCTCAAGGTTTTTGACTGAATCTTATGCATCCACCTTGCTTCATGAGAAGATGCTGGACAAGCTCAAGGAATGGGCCCGTGTGGATCTCACGGGGTTCAACAAGGCCAAGTGCAGGGTCCTGCACCTGGGTCAGGGCAACTCCCAGTATCAGTACAGACGGGGGGATGAAGGGATCAGGAGCAGCCCGGCCAAGAAGGACTTGGGGGTACTGGTGGATGAAAAGCTGGACACGAGCCAGCAATGTGTGCTCATAGTCCAGAAGACCAGCCGTCTCCTGGGCTGCATACAAAGCAGCGTGGCCAGCAGGTCGAGGGAGGCAATTCTGCCCCTCTGCTCACTCTGGTGAGACCCCACCTGGAGTCCTGCATCCAGCTCTGGAGCCCTCAGCACAGGAAAGACAGGAACCTGATGGAGCGGGTACAGAGGAGGCCACAGAAATGATCAGAGGGATGAAACCCCTCTGCTGTGAGGACAAGCTGAGAGAGTTTGGGTTGTTCACCCTGGAGAGGAGAAGGCTCTGGGAAGACCTTGTTGCAGCCTTCCAGTACTTAACGGGGGCTTATAAGAAAGATGGGGACAAACTTTTTAGCAGGGCCTGTAGCAACAGGGTGAGGGGTAATGGTTTTAAACTAAAAGAGGGCAGATTTAGACTAGATATAAGGAAGAAATTTTTTACAATGACGGTGGTGAAACACTGGCACAAGTTTCCCAGATAGATGGTAGATACCCCATCCCTGGAAACAATCCAGGCCAGGTTGGACAGGTCTCTGAGCAACCTGGTCTAGTTGAAGATGTCCCTGCTCATTACAGGGGGGTTGGACTAGATGACCTTGAAAGGTCCCTTCCAACCCAAACAACTCTATGATTCTATGTGTCTTCTTAACTTCCACCTTTCAGTTCATTCCTGTTAATTTGAATTACTAAGTTGAATAGGAATTTGGATGGTTGTGAAATATGGGAGTGCACTGCAGAAGAAAAAAAAAGAAAGATTCACTCACACATATATCACACATTTTCTATGAGTAATAGTACAATGAGGACATCTAACATGAAGGTACGGCTAAAATTGTACAATCGTTTGAATACAGACTGCACGTAAAAAATCTTGAAACAAATACAAAAACATAAAGGATACAAATTCAGAATTGAAACAGTAAAATTACTAAACATTATGAGTACAGGCTTCCATGAAGAGAAGAGGCTAGGAATGCGCATGAGGTGGAAGGAGAACGTCAAGGACTAAAAAGATAATGGAAGAGATAATGGAAGCCCAGGAGCACTGAGGACCATGAGAGAGAAATAAGAAAAAAATCTAGCTGTGTTGTTTTTTCTGCCACCTGAGACATCATGAGAAATACTCTGTTTGTAGCTATAACATGTCTTGAGCTATGTATCATTCTGCTGTGTCACCTCTGCTACTTTCATAAGCAAAAGTGTCTTTGCAATCACAGTGCCCCTGTTAAAAGTTTTGGTTTTGGTATGTGAACAAACTCCTTAAATTAGTGGATAAAAAAATTATCTAGAACAAACAGTCACAAAAAACGAGTTCTACAGAATGAAAAACTCATTGATTTTCTCACAAACAGAAACATTAGATATTTTATTTAATATTATTATTTCCATCCATTAAGATGGAATGAAATCTAAAAATTGTTTAGTTTATGCTGTTTAGCAAAAGAAATTTCCAGGGGAAGCTAATCTAATCAACTTTTCATAAAGCTAGACAATCTAAAGTATTTCTTCTTATCCTCAGGACTTCTTTCTTAAATCAGAAGCCTTCACACCTATATGCATTCATATATACACTATATATATATACACACACACACACATATATACACACACTCACAAACACAGAGGCCAGCTTTGAAATTGCAAAGTTTAAAAGGAACACCACTGTAATAAACAATTCTAGATTTCACAGACAGTGTGCTCTAATTTAAGGAGCTCTCTAATGTTTCATTGAGAGAACAGAGGAAGTCCTTTCAAGAGGCACTAGGTTCAAAAGGTACTAACTCAACTTTTGAAGATGGCAGTATGATTGCTATAAATGAAATACTAAGCAAATAATGATACAGTATGCTACAAGATGTGTAACATTAGGGAAAAAAAAATTATGAAGAAACTTAATGCTGCCACATAAAAGGACCGAATTGCTCTTCTCTACAAAACATGCCTTAAAAATTACAATTAAAAAGTTACTTACATTGTGCATAATAGAAGCCTTTTTTTCTGGACTTATAATGGATGTAACAGTTTCATAATCCGTGGGCAGTTGAACAGGCATGGTAGGGAAATCTGTTTTACCACGTCTTGCCGTACCCTTGAAGAAATGAAGCAGTATCAGAAAACAGCTTTCACTGAAATCATGCTGGCTCCACATTGCACTTCTTATAAGGAAAAATATTAGATATTTGTGCAGGTGCATTATAAAGCTATTGTTAAATTTAAATATTACTATTAATGTAGTCTTTTTATTGCAAACATACAGTGAAGGGTGTTAACAGCCTTACTACCAAAATAACTTAATTTGCATATTCATTAGCAATTTTAGTTATAAATTACAACCCCTAACACCTAAGCACTGAATACTACTTGTAAAAAACCCGACTCCTTGCATAACACAATCCAGATGTAATTCTACTTATTTGAAAACAACATCAAAACAATACGCATACGTAAGATACTACCATTACAAGAAGGTTTTTTTCCAGCCTAAGAGTCAACTGTGTATGAAACTTTCCTCCCATGATACTCATGATCTCCTGGAGCGTGTAAAACTCAGGATACTTTTGCACATGTCCAATACAAGCACGTAGTAATTCCTAACATAAAAAGAAAAAATAGTTTATGCATTTGTATCTTTCATAAGAATTTAATTGTAAAAAGTTTCTTCTGCAACTGCAAGTTGCATTTGCATACACTTTCTGTAGAGAATACAGGTATATTTAGGAAATTACTGCTAACAGACTTGAGTTCAACTTCTCCAGTTAGAGACAGTATTAAAAAACTTAAGAGATACCAGTACAACTCTATAGTAATCTTACAATCCCTGGTATCAGAACTGAAACATATTCTAAATTCTCCTCATTCTCCTCCTTCATATGCAAGGCTAACAATGTATCCACACAGGCTCAGACCAACCGTTTAAAAAAAAGTTTAGTACAGTTTGAACTGTGCTAAACCACGTAATTATTTTCTTTTTAGTTTATTTACCTTGGCTTTTAGAGGGACTAGTATTTTTCTGTGCTACTACCTAATTTACACTAGGCCTAGGTAAAAGCCACAGAGGCAAAGACACAGGAACATTTTGTATGTGCTGAAATTTGCTTTCCTGTCAACTCTAGATCCAAAGATAATTTTTTCTGTTATCTGAATTATGTATTTAAGACATTTAGGTTTTATTTAGTAATCAGAATGAGTTATTTCTGCAAGTATTGTTTAAAACAAAATATGTGCCCCCATTTCATTTTTGACTCAGGTTATCAACTGAATTATAAATAGTACTACAAGTTTGGAGACACATTTTGTAATGAGACAAGATCACCTAGAAAAATAGGCACGAGACAAGATCACCTAGAAAAATAGGCACAAGTATAAGATACAAAGTTACAAAGTCAATACCAATTTTTAGGAAAAAAGCAAGATTTCTCCCCTCACGTGTGCCCAAATCATCTGTTAACAAGAGAACAAGTTTATCTTGTGCATGAAAAAGCATGCAGTAAAGTGTTATGGTGAAAGAGAACCAAACCTTCTGAATTTAACTAAGTGATCCACTCTCTAGCGAACACATTTATTTTTCTTTTTTATTCTGAAAAAGAAGGTGATGAGGCACTTACTAGAAAAGATTGAAATTTTAAACGAACGTATATAAGTAGGCCATTTCAATTAAGTCAAGAAACTATGTGGAAAACAAGCAAGTGCAAGTCAACCCACTGATCAGAAAGTTTAATGAACCTGTATGCTGGAATTCTTTTCCTGAAATGAGCTATTAAACTAAGAGAGATATATAAAGTTGCATTCATGTTTGGTTTTAGATTCATCAAAGTGGATATCTACCACAGCATGAACTTGCAGATGATTATGATTAAAGCCTGAGTAACCTCTGATTAAAGTGACTTTGTAACATGCCACTGTGGAGGAAAGCTTAACATTCTGTCCGGTAGTGTATATTTAGGAGCAGCTTGTTAATGTAAAAGCACACCTGAAATGTAATTTCTCCTTTCCCAAATATAACAATGTCATTTACCTAATTGATGACTAAAACTTTTAGTGTTGTATTCACTGACCTCACTACTATCGTATCTTATTGGCTACAATAAACTGTAGGACAAACCATGCTGCACACCGTAAGGGAAATTGCTACTTCTCATGTCTCACCCCAACATGGAATCAGCAGAAGTTCAGGGAACATCAGATCCCATGAGCAGTGCCTATGCATCTTAATCATGATTCCAATATGATTATTTAAGAAGAGAAGGAATTAAACAGAGTATTGGTAATTACCTCAGTATAACGCAGTGCACCTTCAGAGATGGCATCATAATCTTGTGAGCAGCTTTTTGCAGCATTTTGGGCAAATTTCATAAATTCTGCAATTTCATTGTTTACTACTTCTTTCATTTGCTGGCAGGGAGGAATAAAAATCTGTTTTTTAAGACAGAATGGAATCCTCTAGGCTAGGTATGCAACTAGCAAAATTTCCAGAGAGGTAGTACAGGTGATGGTATGAGGGAGGGCACAGATTCCACGTGCTGCTAAATTTGGCAAGTCTTTGCATATGTTCAGAGTTTCACTTAAATAAAAAAGTTTTGCAAGGTCCATTTCCTTTAAAAAAATAAATCCAAAACACCCCCAACAGCAAGCATCTTTTGATCATACATTGGTGGTTTATAAAAAGAAAGGTTACAAGACATTGTTGGAGCAAGTTTACATGACAGAATGACAAAGATATCTGAGCTCTGACTTCATAAGCAATTACATTATAAGCAACAACAATGCAGTAGGTACTGATGTGCCTGGGAACAACATTCCCAGGAAATAAAGGAATAAGGGAACCAGCATTAAGAAGGAAGCATGGGAAACTAAAAGCAATGGCTCAAAAACTTTCTGATTAATTACATTATTCAGGGTTCAACTAAAACGATCCTTCCAAACAACATGAGACATAGCCTTTTACTATTTAAAGAACATTGCTGAGAGTAAGCAGCAAGTGTGAACTTCTGCCTTTCTAATCCCATAAGTGCTGATATGGCAAACATAGAAGGTTAACGTACAGGTCCCCTCACATGCTAATGAGGAAGGTTCCCATTACAGGGTGCTGTCAAAGATCACATCAAAATCTATCCTTCTTAATTGTACAAGATTGCTACATGCCATTACAAATGCTAAAATCACAGTAAGGTCAAGTCCTAAGTTCCTTCTCACTAAAAAATGCAGGGTTTTTTGGGGGTGGGTGGATGGGTGTTTGATCAGCTATCAAAGATCTACACTTACCATCAGTTGTTTAGACTACTACCCCAAAAAAACCCAAACCCCAAATAAAAAATACACAAAAATACCACCCACTTGCAGTGAAATAACCAAACACACTTTTGATTTATATTAAAAATGTTATCCTGAATACTTTAAACCTTTATTACCATTCATAATACTATGTTAGAAGGAAATTATGACAAATTGAATTTAAAAACATTTTTGCTACATTTGCCTTAACTCTTTGTAACAAAAAAAATTCTATGACTGCCTCTGTGATGTTCATATGTACACATATGCGCTTACCAGATACGTGAATAATTCTCTTTTGCTTGCTGCATTAAGGTGAAAATGGTGGGGTTTTTTTGAGTACTTAGTCATCAGATATAAGTATGTTTTCTGTTCCTTCTCAGTCAAACAAGAGGTAAATGGATAGGGGAGTCTAGGTTCTGGAAAAGGGTAATCATCAGCTGTGCTTTTAGCTTCCGCTTCAACTGGATCTGCAGCCTTCATGCTACAAGTCTGCCTGTTTTCTGAAGAGTTTGCCAACACCTCCACATTTTTCTTTGCCTCTCTGAAAGAAAGGTAATAAATGAAAGAACTTTTCACATAAATGTTAGTATTTGTGAGAATTAGTAGAGGCAGTCATGCAAGCCTAAACTTCAAATCCAGTAAAATGCACTGTGAGATACTGTACTATTCCAATTCCTAGTCTATGTTATAGGAAATTTTTTATTCTGAAACTTCACCTGGACAATCAGACTAACCCTTAGTACCAACAGGTTTGCCACTAGTTTAAACGATGAATTAAAAATAATGCTTTTTTTTCCTCCTCAAAATAGTTTATATATTAGTCTCTATACTCAGTGTTGAGGTCACAAGCTAAAAATGAAACTCTAATTCTTTGTTCTGGAAACACCCATTATTAATGAAAAGACAGAGTCTCAACATTTTGTCATTCACTGATGGCTGGTGCTCAGAAACAGTTCACACCCAGGAAAGTCGAATTTATGATAGTAAAGGAGAAAGACTTAACTAGAAAAAGCCTTTCTTTCACTGTAAAAGAACTAAGTTAAAACTACTAAATTGTAGCAATAGAAATTCCAGATTTCAACGAAGAAATTCCTAAAAACAGAGCGCACAATTCAAGAGTTTCATTTTCTACTCTAAGCAATGCTGAAATCAGTTGCTAAAAAGAATGTTGGGCTAAGACAAGGGGCATAGCTGCCTAATGACAACGAAGTAGTAACATTATAAAGCTGGTTCTTAAAACAACTCCAGTATATGAAGGCCATCTTAGCCCTTCTCTATTTAAAATACCTGTTCTTAAGCGAGAAAATATTTAAGGTTAACAAAATTAACATTAACTGCTGACCTTGGAAAAAGCATATTTTTAAGATACAATTTCAGAGTAGAAAACATCTCAAGTATTACTCAAACCCAGCAGTATCACGTCCACAGTTCTTAATAATACTTCACAGCTGTCTCTCTGAATATGAGAATGTGTCCATCCTTGTGGCACAAACTGGCAAATTTAATTAATCTGCAACAGCGACAAGATGCTGACTCAAATATGCCAATGTAGGAGCATCAAGAAATTCTAGCAGCTTAAATTGGCTATATTCAGCACTGAATGAAATGGCAGCACATCAAGATCATTTCAGTATGCAGTGCTGTCACAGTCTTCATCAGGGTGCAAACCAAAATAATCTGACAGAGCTTTTCTGTCCATATTTACAGCATTACACTTTATTTGAGCTGACGGCTTAAATTTTCCCCCTTCGTTTTATCAGCGACCTACCTTCACAGCTTCTATGGTGACAGAACATACACTTTAGTAAATATGTATCAGAAACCCCCAATATAAAAGTTGACAAATTTCCTCCAGCTTTTACCTTCACCTTTGCCCCAACAGGCTCCATTTTGCTTCTTCTTGACTATGGCCACACGACCCAGTTCCATCAATTTCTGAATTTTTCTGGTTGCAACCTCTCTTCTGGCTGTAAGCCCACTTCTACCATACACAGCTGAACACAATCACCACTCTTGAGTGGTCATGTCTGCTCCAGAAACCCTTTTTCTACATCATCTAAAGGAAGAATGCTACAGTAATATTCAGCGTACCCAGTAGTAAGCTGAGGGCTGTGCTCATCTCTGCCAGTTCAAGAAAAGTTGCTCCCACAGAGATGAACCAGAAAAACCTTCTCTAGCTAGAGATGTGGGAAATAGAGAGTCATGTGATGTAGACACAGGTATTCCCCTCAAATGCACCTTCTTAAGTGTCAGTTCATAGAAGTAAAGCAACTCCTCTTTACAACAAATTATTTCTCTATATACTGAACTCCACAACTCAAGAGCACAGTAGTGATCTTGGTCTCCCAAGTACAGGAACCTTTCCACGCTATTTTGAAAGGCATGAGGAAAGATTTATTTCTGTCTTCCTCGCAAATAAACTAATTCAAAATCAACTCGACTCTCTAGGCTTAAAAAAAATCCACATTCTTTGTGGTGTGAATGTTCATCTACCATGAAACACTTGGCACTTGTACCTCCTTACCAGTTTAATGACTTCTTAAAAAAACCCAATAGCATAAATACAGTCCTCCAACTTCTGAAATCCAGCAGCATGAGCTATGCTTTTCAGTACAAGAAACTAATGTTGATTCTACTTCTTCAACTTAAGAAAATAAAGACATCAAAACTGCACAACCAATACTACCTGTACCACCTGTGTTCACATAATTTCATTTCCCATTCTTCAGCTAACAGTCTATACAGTTTCTTCATTACTCAAGAAACTAGTTGCATCTCCACTACACCTAAGACACTGCTGGATTTACGTAAACAGTGTTGGCTACTTACAAAAGACACAAATAAAAAGGATTTCAATGTACACTCTCATCAGCCTTCTACAAAGTGAGAAGACATGAACAGAGAGGAAGACACTAATTTCTAAGAAGATTTGGGTCTGGTTCATGGGTTACATGATCCTTACCGTGACCAGTTAAGAGCGTGGGTGAAACTTCATCCCTCTTTGGTACATAAGGGAAAGCAAAAACCAAGCACCACCCACAGAAAAGAACCCATACCCCATCCTAAAACCCCCAAAATACCACCCTCCCCCCACCAAAAGACACAAAAGAGCAGAGGTCCCAACCTAGACTCTTTCTGCTTTCTGAAGTTTCACAATAGGTAAAGCACAGACCAACTGCTGGACCAAGTCAGTGTAACAAATCCTTGCACACTGAATAACACGCAGCTTTCCCCCAAAACAGTAAGGGTATGTATCAACAGGATGATGACAACGAGCACAAAATTATAACATAACAGAGTATACCTGTTTGATAAACGCCATAGTTCAGAGAGGCTCGGAGCCAACGAATATTTTTCATAAATTTCATGTGAGAAAAATACTTCACTGCCATTTTTTGGTGAAATATCCCTGATAATAAAAAGAACCACAAACAACAAAACAAGAACATTACAATACACAAAATATTAAAGGCCACACCTGTCCCTGAGAAAAAAAGAAGAGAATTATTTATTTAAAAAAAAAAAAGGCTATCTACACAGTTTCCACATTCACTCTTTACAGAGGTTACGTACATACAGTCCAAATCCCTACCAGTTTTCAATAGCAAAATACATGTTCTTCACAGTCCAAAAATAACCATTTCATTAATACAGGATATAAATTGTAGATATGGTGTGAAAAATTCTAATGGAGTTACACACTTTCAGATGTTCATTAATCAAAACCAAACATCGTGATGAACTTGTGGAATTTTGAGAAAAATACAACAATCTTGGTTTTAATTTTTCTGAAAAGAGGTATTTTGTCTTCTACACAGACCTTACCTTCTAAACAGCCTTAAAAAAAAATTTTTTTTAAATATAGCCCTTCCAGCGTACAGGAATCTTTCCAGGCTATTTTCAAAGGCATGAGGAAAGATTTATTCCTGTCTTCCTCACAAATAAACTAAATCAAAATCAACTCTACTCTTTAGCCTTAAAAAAAAACGGACTATTTCTCTGTAGGGATTTTCATATTAAAAATAAGAACAACGTCACTGCCCCAAATCCATAGTGTGGATGTATATTAATTGTTCCTCATTTTTGAAGGTAGATAAACATAGAGGCTAACACTTCCTCAGAGAAAGCGCACTCACTCCTCCCTTTTGCCACTGAGAGAACGACAAAAAATGGCACCGCACCGCCCTCCCTCAGCGACAGGGCGGAGCCAGGCAGCCGCGGGAACCTAAGCCCGCCTGCTCCCCCCCGCTGCATGCGGGCTCCCGCCGCGCGGTGGGCTCGAAGGGCGGCCCCTCTTTCCTCGCGGCGGGGCAGGGCGGAGCGAGGGGACACCTTCCCTCTTCAGACGCGCGAGTGTCTTTCCCGCTCCTCAGACCCTCCAGGGGACATCCCCCGCTCCTCAGACGCGCCCTGCTAGCTTAGGGGGTGAGAGAGAAACGTACTCACCAGGTCAGCAGCTGCCCTTTAACCGCCATCTTGACAGACCCCGCGGGCAAGCGTATTTGCAGGTTCCTCGTCTCTCTGCCGCGCGAGCCTGCCTCACGGAATTGACCAATCAGCGTAGCCGAGCGCCCGGCGCGCGGGATCAGGTGTTCTGAGCCAGCCAATGGCAGCATAGGCTCGAGCTGCTTGTGGGTGGGGCTGCGGCGGCCATCTTGTGGCAGGCGGTGCGGCTGTAGGGACGGGGTGAGGGTGTGGGGGCTGCGTCGCCGCCGAGGCTTGTGCCAGTGTGGGCCCCGTCCCGCCTCGCCAGGAGATGAAATGTGCCTAAGGCGTCTCCGGGCTGTGGGCTCCCATCCGACTCCACGTTCTTCACTAAGGTGTGGCCCTGACCAGGCGTTGGGTGCCTCGAGTGGCAGTTCCCGCCTTGGGTGTGCAGAGGTGGCTGGGCCGGGCTCTGCTGGGCGGCTTGTCACCGAGGGGGGTTGGGACCGTGTGTGAGAGGGCTGAGGTGACCCGCGGGGATTGCTGCATATTATTGGCTTCCCTTCTCTCCTGGGCTTCCAGTTTTCCTGGCTCACGTCTCACTTGTTAATGTGTGGGCAGGGCCGCAACGCCTTTTTTCTGATGACCAGGCTTCTGAATGTCTTAAAATGTGGAATTAAAATATTCTCAGTACCTGTGGGTGTAGGTGATGGAAACTAATGTGTTTGTGGTGTTACAAGAAAAGGTGATCCCCTTCACAGCTCTACAGATGGAGAAATGAAGAGGGAAATGAGGATTGTGGCATCAAGCAATCAAAGTGTTCACAGCACCTAGTCCTGTACCTTAAGACTCTGGGCACTATACACATACATAAAAATACTGAGATGGTTCAGAATGATGTCCAAACCACCACAAAGGAGTCTCTTCAGCTTGTTTGCAGATCAGTTTTAAGGGCGTTGTTTGATTTTAATTCTGCCCTTTTTTGGTTTGTGTATCTCAGAGAAGCGGAAAGGTTTCTATGTCCCCACTGGATCCACCCAGAGCCCACTCCTGGAGGTTGCCTTGTAAAGGAGTGATCTTACTTCAAAACCCAGGTATGCTAACAGTTACATAGCCAAATGATTCAAAGACTTACCTCAGATTGTGAATGTGGCAGGTTAAATCCTACTTCAGTATGCATGTCTCTAAAACCTGCAGTGTCCTTTTTTTTTAAACGGTGCTCTTTCTTACATGTGATCTTTCTGCTTACATGACTCAAACATCAGCATCAGGAAACACTTTTTCACTGTAAGGGTGACCAAGTGCTGGCACAGGTTGCCTAGGGAGGTTGTGGAATCACCATCCTTGGAGATACTCAAAAGCCATCTGGACATGGTCCTGGGCAACTGTCTGTAGGTGGCCCTGCTTGTGACCTCTGGAGGTCCCTGCCAACCTCAACCATTCCGTGATTCTGTGAAATAGTCAGAGATCAAAACCACCACCTCCTAACCTACCTGTGAGTGGAAACATTGGGCAGGGATCGTATCCTGAGGATGAGAAAATTAAATCTGGGTTTTCAGTGTCTCAAAGACTGCTTTAGTTGTGGAGCTGCTGTAGAACAAATGGCAGTACTTACTGCTACAGTTCTAAGAAAGCGATCCCATTACATTTTTTTATAGACTTGATCTGTAGGTGAAAGCTGCTTCCAGATACAGTGCTTCAAAGATGAATGCTAATACCTATTTCTGGATCATGGTCGGGCATATAAATACTGAGCTGTTAAAGTTCTGTCAAGACAGGCATTTCTGGGTGGGTGCAGAAGTAGAATTTTACATGCCTGAAGTCTTAAGACCAAGTGTACTTGCTGATGTTCAGGTGCTCTCGGCGCAGCAGAAGGGAGTTGCAACTTTGAGTTTTGATGCCTGAATTCTATTAAAACCTCAATTTTGATACCCAAATCCTCATTTAGATCTAGCCCAAAGTGGTATTTCCAAAGTCACTGAGAAGGCCTTAGTCCAGATTGCTTTTATCTTGCACTTGATGCAGTGAACTATGATTTCAAGCAAAAAGACGCCTTCAAGGAGGGGGAAGCTACATTAATCCATATTCATTCTGAGGAGGTTTAAAGCTCTTGCTGGACAAAAGGAGAGCTTAAAAGGTGCTTGGAAGTCATCTCGTTTCCCACTGCCAAAAATTACATCGTATATGTGCTAAACAGCTCCGATACATGTGCTTGGAAGCATAGCCTAGTTTTGTAATGGTGCATTTCTTAAGGAATAAACATAATAAACCACGATTCAGAAAAACAAACAAGATGCTACTGACAAAAAAAAAAGACAGATTTTTCCATTAGAAGCTGAAGTTTTATTACAGGATAAGAGTACATAAAGCACATCTAAAATCGATGTGTTCAATGCACTTAATAAAGGTAATGTAATATTAAAGGTACAGTTTCTAAGTACAATATAACAACATTCATATTAGAATGAAAATTGGAGTATTTAAAAGACAACATTAAATCTCTTATTTTTACAGTCATATTTACAAAATGAATCAAAATACTTTTTTCGGGACTGAGTAAAATAACAAACTTGAATATAAGCAGGCTATTGTAAGAGTGAGTTGGAAAGGTCCATGAAAGTGAAAAGTTAAGTGATTGGGTAAAGATCATTAGCAAAGGTTTAGTACAATACCACTTTAGTATTCCTCTTGATGGCTTACATTTTATCTTGGCTAGAAAAGAATTTATACATACTGTACACATAACAGACAGCATATATTTACATGTACAGTATAATTGCATTTAAACTTGTGTGTATTTACAGAAATTTGAGCATATCACTCAACGAGGTTTTTTAAGTCTATGTGCTTAATCTTCAAACTGCTGTATATTTCTAATCAGCATTTATTCTGGTCTTGTTATGTTGAACATTTAGTAAACAGGGAGAATATATTAACCAAACAGTTTTGCATAAATGTATCAAACTATTAAAATTAAAACAATAGGGAGAACATGTTCCTGGCATATAGGTTAGTACCTACAAATTTAAGTGTGAGACCTTTTCTCTTTGAAAATATCAAAAGGTGACTTAAATCAACACGGGAAAATAAATTTGTCATGGCTTATATTTAAATAAGTTGTAGCTTCAAGAGGTTTTTATAATTGTCCTGATAGTGTTTGCAATTAAACATTCCACTTATGAAAATATACCCACGGTGCAGTAAAGTTTGTATTTATTTTTAGGACAACAGTATGTTTGCTGTTTAAAAAAAATTATTTATATATATATATATTCCTTGGATTGAGGGTATAAAAGCAGTGCATGGAAGCCAAGAATCATGGCTTTAAAATTCACTACCTTCTATTATCAAAAAGTGCAGTAAACAGAAACATTGTATTTATTAAATTGCTCAAAAATCTTTGCTAAAGATCTTATAAATTCAGTAATAGTACAGAAAAATTCTAATAAATATTTAAAAGGTTAATTACCTCCTTAGTTAGATATTTGATATCCATCAGTTTTTAAGAATTAACATGAAAACAGTATCTAGAATGAAAGGAACAGGGGATAGGAATACTTTTAAGGGTACGTGACTACGAAAATCAAGGTATACATGAAAAATGAAAACAAAACCCCCAGACCTGACAAAACGTTGCAAATTCCACTTCTTAATTAACTTTAGTTGCTAATGGCTGTCCTTGGATATGTATGCATGACTTATAAAGCAGATCCAAGGACTGAATTTAGCCATCCACCTATCATGGAAGATTTACAGAAGATTCCTATTTACAGTAACTGGAATTAAGTGTGTAGGCATGGCCTAGTAACATCCACAGTTTGAGTGTGTACAGATCCTATTTAAAGTGAAGAGGGAGGAAGGCACCCAGCAGAATAACATCTATAAATATCAGATGCAACGACAGGATAGAACTCTCCCAACAAGCCAAATAACTACCTCCCTTTCAGACAGACAGCATATTGTAATTTCTTTATACTGGCAGATGAGATGTTTTTCTTTTTTTCTGATACAATACAGGCAGACTGTTTTAGTAACCAAAAGGATAACAAGCTGGACAGAACATATTTTAATAACGTTAATAATTAATAATGTTAATAATGTAGAAGAAAATTCTACATTTGATATCAAGTATCTGTACCGGTGAAGTAATTTTCTCCTTATTAAATATACTATAGAATAATTTATATAATGACACTATGCATTTAAAGAGAAAACCATGTCCCAAATCTTGTACTCTGATACAGGTACTTGTTGGGCATATGTTGGTGTGTGTATATATATATACACAAATATATATATATTTATATATAGTTATACTCAGTGAAATTAACAAGACCCAAAGGTGGTATTGTCTAGGAATAAAAGGGGTTTGTTTGCTTTTGTTCACAAAAGTAACTTATCTAGCACCACACATCAGAAAAACACAAAAATAGCACACTCTAGTTCTAAACAGCTATGTCTAAAATAGATTATATAGTAAAACAGATATTATACAGCATAATGTGGTATTTGATAAACAGATAAATATTTGCACTGTGTAGGCTGTTTATAGTATAACTTTATCTATACAGAATGAAAGCAAAAAGTTAACTGTATAGAGGTGAGCAGAACAACATTAAATATTATGACTCCAAAGCAGAGACAAAGTTAGAGTTGAAAGAACAGAGCAAGATAAAATGTTTACAGGCCATTACAAGTCCTTAAATTAGTAGTAAAATAAGGAATCAGTTGCTCAAGTTTAAGAAAGCAGTAAACAAGAGATTGCATTTACATGCAGATGTCTAAAACTTGTATTTCTTTTAAATCTATGCACAAAAAGTCATTTGTTTTTATTGCTTGACATTCAGTTATGGCTAGAGTATTTTTAACCTTTTTTTTTGTACTTTGGAAACAAGAATATTGTTAAAGGTGCCATAAAAATGGACAGCATTGAAAACAGTTTGCAAATAAACCACCTAACACTGCAGTTCTTTATACATTTTAAAAAGCCTTGTCTGGGGTTTGTCATATGTTAAATATATTTAATCTGGGAAAATACACCGTAGCT